CCCCCCACCCCGCACCCCCCCACACACAGGATTCCATCTGGATCGACCTGGGCTGCCGCCTCCTGGAGACCCGCCTGCTGCAGCGCCTGCGCTTCGCCAGCGGCAAGGTCTACTCAGTGCTCGCGTCGCCCTTCTTCGGGGGCGAGGCGCCCAGCAGGGAGGGGCTGCTGCGGGGGGAGGTGTCCCTGGGCTTCACCTGCGACCCCGCAGACAGGTGGGCCGCCCTGGTGGTGGCCTGGAGGGCGGGCCCGCGGCTTCAAGCAATCCCAGGGGACGCGATCCCAGGGGCGGCACGAAAACACGCCCTAGACCGATCGCACCTCGAGTACGAGCGCACACCCACGCGCGCGCGCGCACACACACACACACACACACACACACACAACACACACAACACACACACACACACGCACACGCACACGCACATGCACGCACACACACACGCGCACACGCACACACACACATGCACACATGTATGCACATACACGCACCTACCTTGTCATGCGCAACGCACCGAATCTTGCGTCCGCGCAGGGAGGCCCTGGTGGCGGCAGCCCTGGAGGTGGTGGCGGCCCTGCAGCGGGAGGGGCCCAACGCGGACGAGGTGGAGACGGTCAGGTGCGGGGGCGTAATCGTTCGTTTGTATCTGTGTGCGTGTGTGTTTGTGTTGGTGTGTGCGCGTGCACGCATACGTGGTTTTATTGCACACAAGCATGGAGGCTTGTGGTTGTGCGAGCAGTCATGAGCCCGGGTTCACCTGGTGCGGCAAGCACTGCGCCTGGCCCAACTCACGAACTGAATATGTGCACGTCAGCGCTGCGCCTAACGGCAGCTCCGCCCCGAGCGCACGACTCCTCATCCGTTAATCGCGATCCCCATGCGTCGGCCCCCAAAGGACCCTGGAGCGGCTGGAGGAGGAGAGTGCCCGGGAGGAGAACAGCTGGTGGCACGAGCACGTGGTCGCGGGGCTGCAGGGCCGCACCTTCGCGGAGACGGGGGACTCGGACCTCGTGTTTGGCAAGATGCGGAGCGCTCACGAGGCGGTGAGCCGGGCACGGTCGCTTCCGGGGGCAGCAGCGCCCTCGCGGCATGCCCAGAGGCGCGTGGCTGCGGCCGCCCTTGGTTGGCCCTCTCCGCATCAGCCGGCCCCCCTCGTCTTTTCCCCCGCCCTTCAACTCTCATACAATGACCCCACCCTTGCTCATTGCCCCAACAACCCTGTCTGATTTTAAGCGCGAACGTGATAGCGACGCTCCGTACCCTGCATGTCTCACGTGTGCCCGTGCATCTCATGCATGAAACCGCCGCCGCAGGTGCTCTCGCAGCTGTCACCCGACACCATGCGGGACGCGCTGCAGCGGCTGCTGCCCCAGCCCCCCACACAGCGCTTCACCGTCGTCACGATGACCCCCAAGCCGCCCGGGCCCCTGCTGGCGGCGGCCTTGCGGCTGCGGGCGACGTGGGGGGCCGTGGCGGACGCGCTGGGCGGGGACGGGCGCGCGGCGGCGGCGGTGGCGGGCCTGGCGGCGGCGGTGGGGCTGGCGTTTTCGTTGTGGCGGCGGCGGCAGCAACAAGGTTGAGGGCTGCTGTGCTTACGATGTAACACGCAATGCGTGAACAAACGGCATGCGGCTGCCAATGCTGCAGCACAGCTTGAAGCAACGGTCTTTAGAGGCCAGGGGCTCAGCAGACACATCTGGCTGGCTGTTGGCTTCACTTGTAGACGTGACGTGGCAGTGTGTGTCGATTTAACTGTGCAGGCCATGTGACAGGTGCAAAGGGCGAGGGGCCAGGGCAATTCAGCGCTGGGCCGGAACCACTGGCCGGAACACACGAGCAGGAGGTCACCGGGCAGTCAAAGAGCACATCACACCCTGGGCACGCCCATGCGCTGCTCCAGCTGCCGGTGCAGATACTCCCAGTGATCAGCGCTCAAACATCGAATTCAAGCGTAAACGTCGACTGCTGCGCTCGAGTGCCTGGTGCTGTCGCGATTTTCAAAAAATGCCGCGCCGTACATAGCGGCCGAGCCTCCTCTCAAGCTCGAAGGTAGCAAAACTTGCATCAAATAGCTCAGGTCTGTGTATGAGAGCTTGTCTTGAAAGACTGCTTGCAGCGTGCGACAGCTGCTGCATCAACGCACGTACATGCCTGCAGTACGCGCTCTTGCTGTCGATGCAGGCCAAACCCAACAGCAGCACAGAGCTGCCATGGACGCTAGACCGGCCCTGAGTGGCAGACAAGTCGATGACGAAGCCCTCGTGCCGACTGCGCCAAGCCTTGAGGCACGCCCCTCTCGGCAGCCACTGTCCTCTTCGCTCAGCCGCTCGACCGACAGCATGGAGCAGACGCAGCCGCCAGCTGCCGCGGCACAGGCGGAGGTTCTCGCGGGCGACCAACGACAGCGGGCGGCACCCTTGTCGGCGGGCCACCTGGGCGGGATGTTCAACCTCAGCGAGTGTGAGCCATGCATCTGCACGAGCAGCAAACGTGTTGTGTGCGCATCATGGGCCGCTGTGGATGACCTGGGGCTGTGATCCGAACAACCGCTCCTATATCTTTCGCAACATAAGAAGGGGCTGTCATTCCCACCGCCGGTCCTGTTTGCCGCTCCAGCCTGACCTCTCACCTGCTACCCTGCAAAAACATCCTCAGGGTACTATCGGGACGCCAGCGGCCGGGAGCATGGCCCCTGGCCGCCCTGCCAGGTCACCCACTGGGTGGACAGCGGTCGCCTTCCGCCCGATGCGCAGGTAGGTCCGGCTGCATGTGGGCAACCGCGGTTCGGAGGTTTTCATACGGCAGCATGCACTTGCATGGCGTGCTGTGAGGCCTTGCCGCTCCCATGCATGGCCCATCATGCATGCCTTATAGCACAAGCAGTGTGCTTGCACGCTCGGCCCACGCATGCATGCACAGAAGGCTGTGCATGGAGTGCTAGCACAAAGGCCGAGTGGACCCCGCTGAGTATTCTTGCGTGCATGCGGCGTGCCGCGGCCCTGTGCATGCCTCACAGACCACCGTGCGTGCTCGCAGGTGCGGTGCGCGACGCCCTGGATGGTAGCCGACCTCGCAGCAGCCGTCATGCAGGCCGGCGACGCGCTGATGCTGCGCTCCAACAGGCTCCACGAGCCGCTCTCGCTCGCAGGCAGCAACCAAGCAGGCACGCGCCCTGGCAGCAGCAGCTGCCACCGCCGGCCCTTGTGGCAGCACCCTCCTCAGGGCCCCGTCGCCTCTGGCAGTCCCTGTGGCAAGCGGCACCACTGATGCTGTGGCTGGCGCCTGCCGCGACGCCCGCGCCGCCGGTAAATTCAATGTGGCGCAGGCGGTCGAGCCGCTCTCCGCCGCGCTCCCCTCAACGCGCAGCTTCAGCATGGACGGCGACAGCAACACCTACAAAGACAGCCGTCACAGCAGCGTCGCTGTCTCCGATGCGGCCGCCGCCGCCGCTGCTTCTGCGGCTGCGGGGGCGCTAGACCTGACAGCGCTGCTGAAAGTGCTGCCCCACCTGGCCCCTGCAGCTGCAGCCGCCGCCGTCACAGGCCATGCGCCCGCGCTGACAATGCAGACGTCGCCCACCGCCGCCCCCTCGACGCTCGCCATGCAAGAGCTGTCAGCGCTGGCGCTGGCCCCATGCCCCGTGCCGGCGCTCTCGCGCGGCAGCAGCACCGGCTCGGGCATGAGCGGCGCCGGTGGCACCGCAAGCGGCGGCGCGAATGTGGCCAGTAGCCAGCCGGTCAGCAAGGTGAGGTTGGTGAGGGGCTGAAGGGGTATGTGAGCAGACGGGATCAACTCTCTTTGGTCGGGCCGTCAGCTGTGCAATCGCCGCGAGTGGCGCAATGCCCACCCTGGGCTGACGTAATTATCTGCCCTGCATGCGGCCGACTTGGTGGAGCTCTCTCGCTTCAACTCTCTGGTATTGCGGTGGCCCACTACCAATCACCACCCCGTGCCTGCTGGATTGCAGGTTCCGGCCTCCGGCTTGGCGTTGGGGCTCTCAGCGCCCGCGCAAGAGCAGCTCCACCTTCCGGCAACCTCACAGCAAACCAGGTCGCACCCACAGCCACAGCCGCAGCCGCAGCCACAGCCAGAGCCCCAGCAGCAGCAGCAGCAGCAGCTGCAGCAACAACAGCAGCAGCAGCAGCAGCAGCAGCAGCAGCAGCAGCAGCAGCAGCAGCAGCAGCGGCACCACGCGGACAATTACCGGTATCAGCAGCACCTGCTGCTGCAGCAGCAGGTGATGCAACTGAGCGAGCTGCTGCGCGCCCAGGGCGTGCACCTGCCGCTTGACCAGGTGGTCAAGTTGCACACAAGGCTGCTTCAGCAGGAGGTTGAGAAGGCGCAGGCACGGGTCCACCTGCAGGCACAGCACATGCAGGTGGTGCAGCAGCAGCGGCAGCAACAGTATGCGCGGGAGCTGGCCAAGCAGCAGCAGCAGCAGCAGCAGCAGCAGCAGCAGCAGCAGCAGCAGATGAATGTGCACTCGCAGCTGCAGCTGCAGGGGTGCCAGCAGCACCGTGTGTGCCAGCAAAGGCTGCTGTCCTCCGCAACCCAGGAGGCAGCGCATCAACTGGCCCCACTCGTGACAGGCCCCGTTCCCCCAGCGCCCTTGATGACGTGTGGCATGCCGGCCGCAGGCATGGTCGGCGGGCAGCTGCCCTTTCCTCAGATGATGGTGCCTGCGGGCATGTTCACGCTTCCGGGTGCCGGGGCAGCGCCCTTCATGCACTGTGGCGTCAGCGGTGGCTTTCTGGCGGCCAGCCCGGCGATACTGCCGGCGTCGTCTGGGCTGGTGGGGGTGCGGCCTCAGATGGTCACGGCGGCGGGGGTGGGCATGCCGATGCCCAACGCTGGGCTGGCAGTACCGCAGCAGCCGGCGAGCCGATGAGGCAGGTGGCCGGGCGGTCATGCTAGTATGTGCGGCGCATGAAACGTACGATCAGGGGCCTTGAGGGTTTTCAAGAAGTCAGTTTTGGGCGGCTGTCATTCGAGTTTCACCATGGGTTACGCGGTGCTTTGCACACGCGTGATTCATCGCTTGGCACAGCCCGTGCCGCCGGCCATGCTGTGGCGATATGAGGGTGCCAGGTGTGTGATAGTGGTCACAGTAAACAAACAAGATTGCGGCTGGTAACCGGCGACCGCCACGGACAAGCCTATGGGCATGTGTCGTCGGTGAGTCGAATCAAGCCGCCAAAGCGCGCAGAGCACAGCAGGTGAGGAGGTGTCCAGACTCTGCACGGCAGCTGTTGGCGGGTAACAAATGGCCATGTGTATTGATCAACTGCCAAACGCAAACTCAAACCGCAGCGCCGGGTCCCTGGCGGCAGCCCTTTTGTTCCCTCAACAGATCAAGGCACAGCGTACGCCGCGCGGGCGCTGCATAATCGCAACAAGTATAGAGACGTTGAAAGTGATTTTACAAAATCAGCACGCGCTGTCCAGCTGACCTAAACGATTCATCATCGCCCGCGGGTGCTCCGCTGCCCCTCGCCTGCACTTGAGGTGGCCACGCCGGGATTTTCGCCAAAACACTCTTATCCGGTACACGGCCGACAGGCGGGGACGCCCCCGACGGTGCACCCAAGCAGCGTTCCCCGCAACGCACCACCGCGCCGCTCCCGCCCCGCGCGCCGCCGTCAACCGGCTGCAGCGCGGACGCGGCGTGCGGACCTACATATAGTCACAGTTGACGCCCTCGCCAGACATGGCCCTCGTCCGGGTGGCCAGCCTGCAGCGCGCTGCAACGATGCAGTGGGCCGCCGGGATGCAGCGTGCAGCCTCGGGGCCGGCAATCCCGTTGGATTTCGACCCCGGGCAGCTGCTCCTTGACCCAGACCAGATACTACAAGATGACGCAAACTTTGAGCGCTGGTGAGCAGGCCGCGCCGATGCGCGGCGCCGGGCGCTGCTTAAATCCGCGACGCCCCGAGGCTCCGGCGCTCACACTTTTACACCACCTCGCCGCTAGCCTGTCTTCGCATCGCCCCGCCCGCCTCCACGCGTGCCCACCAACCCTACGACGCCCCGACCAAATCTACAGGCTCATGGAAAGCATCGGGCGCGGCGGCATGGAGGTGGAGGACGACGCTGACCTTGCCACCACCCTCCCGATGCCCGCTACCACCGCCGCCGCCCTGAGCCCTTGCGCCCCAGAGGCCGTCGCCGCCGCGGCTGCCCCGCCGGCGCCTGGCGTGCAGATCCCCCCACCTACAAGCCCCGCGGTGCCGTCGCCGTTCTCCGCGCCGGCCGCGTCGGGGCCGCTCTCGAGCGCCTCGTTCGCGCCGCCGCCGCCGGCCCAGCAGCAGCAGCAGCAGCAGCAGCAGCAGCAGCAGCAGCAGCAGCAGCAGCAGCAGCCGGCGAGCGCGATGGTGGTCGCGGCGCCGCCAGACGGCGGCGCGCAGAGCGCCTACAGTGCTCTGTTCCAAGTCCCGGCCGGGCATGTGCTCGTCCAGGTCGGCCCGGGCCTCTTTGCCCTCCAGCCTGCGCCCATCACCGCCGCCCCCGACGCCGCCGCGCCGCCGCACGCCGCCCCGCCGCTCGCCGCGCCCCCGCAGCAGCTGCGGCAGCAGCAGCAGGCGCTGCTGGCCCCGGGGCGGCCGCCGGCGGCGCCCGGGCGCGGGGCGCACGCGAGGCAGCCGCGCGCGCGCGCGGCCAAGGCGCAGCCTGAACCGGCGGT